CACTGTTTCTCCTGACTCCCCCTTCTCACTACTCCTCCATACTCACTCCTCACTCTACCTCTCCCCCCGTCATCCTTGGTTATCATTCTCATTTTTCCTCGATCTCACCCTCTCCCTTCTCTCTCCTGCTCCTCTGTTATCCTTCTCGCTCCTCCTCCGCCCTTCTTCTCCTCACTTCTCCTTTCACTCCTCTTCTATATTCACTCCTCACTCTACCTCTGCACTTTTCTTTCTCCGCATCCTCAGTCCTCCTTGTCACTCTCCCCTCCCCTCGTGAAGCGGAGGAGTGAATCGATCCTCGCTGCTAATGTTTCTATGTGCGTGAAGAGGGCTCCTGGGAGTTGCTGATCATACCCAGGCTATGACGCCTTTGGGGCTGGCATTTCCTAAGCTTACCCTGGTCTTGACCCCCTAGGCCCCTCTAGGCTTAGCTCTAGGCCTACTCCCAAGCCTTGCACCCGGGCCTACCCTAGACCTATCCCTAGGCCTACCCCCTAGGCCTTCCCTAGGCCTACCCCAAGGCCTACCCCCTGAGGATACCCTAGGCCTACCCCTAGGCCTTCCTCTAGGCCTACCCTCTAGGCCTACCCTAGGCCTACCCCTAGGGCTTCCCCCTAGGCCTACCACTAGGCCTTGGGTAGGGCCTACCCCAGGCTACCCTAGGGCGTCAGGTAGGGCCTACCCTAGGCTACCCTAGGGCCTTGGGTAGGGCATACCCTAGGCAACCCGAGGGCCTTGGGTAGGGCCTACCCTAGGCTACCCTAGGGCCTTGGGTAGGGCCTACCCTAGGCTACCCTAGGGCCTTGGGTAGGGCCTATCCTAGGCTACCCTAGGACCTCTGGTAGGGCCTAGGGTAGGCTACCCCCCCGGGTTCTATACATTTGTGGCAGGTTCTGGTTATGACTCTGGCTTTGGCTCTGGTTCTGGGGAGAATGAGCATGTAGCCTGCAGGGGCGAATCAGAACCACGGTCGAAGTGCACATCACAAAAACGGCAGACGCAATAAAGGCAAACAAAACGACCAACGCAATGTTTCGCAAGGGTTCGCCTCGCTGTATGTATTCTCCCCGGACTTTGCGTTCTCTGTTTATTGGTTGTCCAATGGTCTGTTGTTTTTGGGAGGCGAAGGGAATACAAAGAGGAGGAATAATGAGGCCCTCCAAGCACTCGCCCGAAACGACGCGACAATCTCTGGGCCCAGGACGGTCCGTTCCCTGGGCAGTCCAAGCTTTTACTTTGGACGCGACCGTCCGACTGAAGCCAGGCTCGCGTTGGATCTGTGGACAATCTTGGGTCTTCAGAAGCTTCGAAACTCATCCACGCAAAGCTGGGGTTCGGGGTCGGCCTCTGGACACTGACAGACCTGATCCCAGTCCTGAAAAGTATTGTGAAGTTTTTCTTTTGAACCTGATGGAGGGTGGCCGCACTCAGGTTAGCGGTGGGCCTTGCCTCCCCCGTTGGCCACTGCCCCCGTCACGAGGTTCCACAGTTCGACCGACTTTTTCCTGATAAAATCTCGTTCGCTTCGGGCGCCCTGTTCTCCAGCAAGTTTCGCCCAATCAGCAAAGCCTGCGACAAGCATGCAACTCGAGCGAGATAAAAGAGTGGCATGGGGCTCCCGCGGGGGGGCCCTCTTGTGCAATTGCGTAGCCGTTCCTCATCCTCCTCCTGCTCCCCCCTCCTCCTCCTCTTCCTCCTCCTCCTCCTCCTCCTCCTCCTCCTCCTCCTCCTCCTCCTCCTCCTCGGCGCTCCCCTCCCAGCTCAGCCTCACGCTCATGCCCTCCCTCCCGAAGCCCGAGGGGGAAACGCGGTTCATCGGGCTGTTCAGCATGGAGGTGCGTCTGTGGGCTCGGTGTTCGAGGGTGGTCGTTCGTCAGTGGGAGTCGGAACACCACGGGGAGTAGATTTACGCGGCCACGGGTCGGTCGTGCGAGAAGGTTGTGTGGGAGCATTCGTTCGCCAGCCAGCGTGCCAGCGAGCCGCCAACGCGCTTGTGGACCTGACCCAAGCATTCGAGACGGTCCAACATCGTGACATCATCGGCGCTGCCTCTGTCCCCTTTTCTACCTTCGGATGTGCTGCGAGTGTACCTTGTACCGCGGTGCCTGCTGCTGGGTAAGCGTGTCTCACGGCCAGTGCGCATATTGTGTACCATCATCGCCGGCTGCGGCTTCGCGACCAGTGCCCGCCAGGGAATGGTATCCGATAGTCTCGACTACTGTGCCAGGTGGTTGCCGCGCGCTCGTCTCCTCAACGTGGTGGATGACGTCACCTCTTTCACGGTGGGCTCCGTAGTGTTGGCCGGCAACGAAGCACCAGCAGCCACCTTCATTCTCTGCCGCACGCTCGAGGCCCGACGTCTGATGGTCTCGCGTGCTAAGGGGGGGTCGTAGGTACGACGTCAGAGTTAGCGAGCGAGATAGCTGCCGGATTGCTAACCTTGCAGTTCATGTATACACAGCGTGTCAAGAATTTTGGCGCCGATTTCACTCAGGGGGCTCGTAGGCGTGTGCATGCCCAAACCAGAAGAGTGAGGGCTAAATCGGGACGGCTTAGGTCTTTGAAGCCAGAGTTCCGAATGTTCACTATGATCTATAAGGTTTGGGCGATCTCCGCTGGCACCTGCGGGGTTCGAATGGTTGGGATCTCCAACAGGGCCCTCGCGAGGCTTCGTGCTGCCATTGCTCTGGGAGTTCTCGGGTTCGCTAGGGGCCGCTCCCGCACTATTTAGTACTGGGTTTCGCCTGCTCCCGAGGCCAACCCTGCTTTTGTCTGCAACTCCCAGCCTCTCCTCGCGTGGGCAAAGGCCTTCTAGGAGGGTTAGGTGTCTCGAGAGCAGCCTCAGCATGTCTCCGACACTCTGTTGCAGCAAGGCGTTGCGGACTCGTTAGGCTGGCCCGCCGTGAGGAGGGCCGACTGACACCTTCACAATGACTCTGCGTCGGCTTGGATGGGTTCCGCAGAGCTACCGTGCGTGGACTCCCGTCGGGCCCGACTGACCCCGGGCCTCGAGGTCCGAAACGCTTGTCTGCAGAAGTCAGTTGACGCAGGCACTTTTTGTTGAGGATTTGAGTGGGACCATCAGGGCCGAGGGTGTTTTCTCCCGTAGCTTGATGCCGTCGCCGAGACTTGCGCCACCCTCCGCCGTCGTAGGGCGGCCTGCAGGCCAGCCTCCTCGCAACTCATGTTGCAGGAGGACTCATCACGTAGTCGTTTCTTATCTGCAAGAAGATAGGCAAGTTATTGACTCAAGGTGTCAGCTGTGCTATGGAGCCCGAGGCGCACCACAAAATCGTTTGTTCGGGTGCGACGGGTGCGATGTAGGTCACAGCAGGCCTGGCTTCGACACCGAGTCAAGAACCTGGATGCGCGGACGAGGATGACCCCTGCCTCTCTCGATGCCTCCTGCCTTCTCCTGTTCGGTACACCCCGCGCCTCCAGCACTCTTCCAGCATCGGGTGGGTCGTGAGACCGCCTGGTGGCGTCCTTCGAGGAAGAGTGTGCGCTGATGGCTCTGCGCTTTTCCAGAGCTGCCGTTATTCATCGTTGCCGCTTGGTTTGTTGTGATGGTCAACGATGCACGCCAGGTTCTGGCAAATGCATACGGTGTCCTGCTGCACGCTCTGCACATTATTTATGAGGCGGAAGTGTTCGCCATTCTGATGGTTCTCAAGCTCTTGGGCCCTAAGGAGTGTGCCGTGTGTTGTGACTATGAGTATGTTGTTCTGGCTTGGGCCCAGGGTCTTAAACACGACGTTTCCAGTTTTCCTCATGGTGAGTTTTGGGAGGAAATTTAGTTTCGGCGGCGGCGCGATCGGGGCGAGACGGTGAACGTCACCCACGCCCATGCCCACAAGTCCTGGCCCAGGGCCCTAAGTACTTGGGTCCCGTTCTATTCTTGGAAGGGAAACCGGGTTGTCGAGCAGACAGTCAGGAAAGCTGCTGGAGAGATCCAAGTCCCTTGATGAATCAGTTTTGCCAGCAGCGATCTCATCTTCCGGTCATGAGCAGGCTTGCAGGTGGTATGCTCGAGATTGTTGGCCGCTAGCTTTCGGGATGTCTCGCGTGTCGTGGCCCGACGGGCCCTCCAACTCTTTTGTGCCCCGACCTGAATGGGCACGTGCTTGGGCGTTGCGGGAAGGGTTGGGGCTGTGTGCGGGACGTCCAGACCGCGGCAGGAGCTGGGTCCACCTCGCTGGCTGCGGATGCCCAGGCCTGCCCAGGACCCGTCGCCGGGCCCATCCCGCACACCGGTTGCCGGGGGGGAAACCCTGATGCACCGCTGCCTACGGTTTGGTGCTCCAAGTGGGTTGCTTCGCCAAGGACATCGAGCGCACCTGTTGCTGGAACCCTGCCCCCGCAGCCCGAGCACGAAGCGACGTGTCTGGCGCAGCGCGCCCCTCGGCAGGGAGAGGGCGCGTGATGCGCCATCTCTCTATCCTTCCCCTCGCTCTCCCAGGTCCTGCGCCGCGCTCCGACGGAGCGCATCCCTGGCCGCTCGAAAAATCCAAGAAATAAGCAAGAGGAGGTAACGAAGGGGGAGGAAGGGGAGGAGGGAGAGGAGCTGGACAATGCTGAGACCTCGGGCCGGGGCCTTCAGCGCTACCCTGACAAAGAAAGGCCCCTGCTGCCCACACTAGCAAGCCTGCTGCTATGAGACTTGGGCCTGGAGGGGAAACCGTGTTGCGGACAATGCGGCCAGGGATGCTGCCGAAGAAATCCATCTCTTTGGGTTTTTCCTGGACAGGGTTTTGAAGCAACTGGAGAACAGCCACAGGCTCTGCAGGATTTCTGCCGCTGTCATGGAGCACGCATATATCCACCCTCGAGAAGTGGCCAAGACGGCTGTTAAGAAGGGCCGGCCGAAATCCACTGGTGTCCATCCTTGTGCCCGAGCCTTACGGACAGATAGTTGCACGTCATGGCAAGGGGCTCGTGTGTGGCCAGTGCCTGGATTTCGGGAGGACGTACTCTAGCCTGGCGCCTTGCAGGTGCACAGGATGGCCTCGGATCGCAAGTCAGGGCCACCGGTTTCACCGACTGGAGAGGAGACGGTCGGGCCGCTCTGCCAATGATCTGGTGCTCTAGTTGCGGGGCCTTCGCGGGACACCGTATGCATCTTAGCCGGGGCGTGCCCCAGGCGGCCGTCCAACGAAGATGCTGGCCAGTCTCTGGGTCTCCCTGAAGGGAGGCCGCGGTTCCGAGCGCCAGGTCGCATGCTTTCGGGAGCTGCGTGCCGCTGCGAACAAGGCTGGGCTTTGTCTGAGGCATCGTTCGGCCGTCTCCATCCCAATGTATGTCCCAGAGCATCGGTTCTACGATGCCAGGTGTATTCTAACAATCATGGAAGCATGGCGCAGAGAGCTGGCTGGTGATGTTGTTGGTGATGGTGGTGGTGGTGATGATGAAAATCAGGAGGAGGAGGGTGAGGATGATGAACATGAGGAGGAGCAGGAGGAGGGGGAACTGGAGTAGGTCGGGGTCGAGCGGTGATGGTGATGGTGATGACGATGCTGACGATGACGACGACGATGACGATGCTGATGATGACGACGATGATGATGATGCTGATGATGCTGATGATGCTGGTGGTGGTGGTGATGATGTTGATCACGATAGTGGTTGTGGTGATGGTGGTGTTTTTGATGGTGGTGGCGGTGCTGATGATGGAGATGATGATGCCGATGATGATGATGCTGATGATGATGATGCTGATGATGATGAGGGTGATGAGGATGATGCTGATGCTGATGCTGATGCGGATGCGGATGCTGATGCTGATGCTGCTGCTGCTGCTGCTGCTGCTGCTGATGATGATGATGATGATGATGATGATGATGATGATGATGATGATGATGATGGGGACGCGAAGGAGGGGGAGAAGGAGGAGGAGGACCAGTTTAAACCCAAGAGTCATCAACGATGTTGGAGTAAACCCTCCCTCCAAGCTCCCTCTTTATAGGCCCCGCAACGGCTCATTTCCATAATGGAACTGCCTCGTTGGAAGACACCCGTTTGAAGACCCTGATTCATGCCAAAACATGGTTCTCGGGATTCCAACGCCACGGATCAACCTGACTGTTGCGTTTTGACGATCCTGAATCGTGCCAGAACGCCGTTCCTAGGACTCCAGCACAGAGAATCAGCGTAACTGCTGCACTCGCATAATCCTAAATCCTTCTAAACCATTATTGCTGGTACGTTGATGATGGGAACCCGTGAAACTCTTGCAATTTTTGGAAACGAATGTGCACGGCGCTAAGGCGAGAGCCACATTTTGAAAAGGAGCCGCCCTCAATCCGTGAAATTCTTGCAATGTTTGAAAACGAACGTGCGCCGCGCTAAGGCGAGAGTCACATTTTGAAAACGACGTGCCCTCAGTCCGTGAAACTCGCAATTTTTGAAAACGAATGTGCTCCGCGCTAAGGGTAGAGCCACATTTTGAAAACGAGCCGCCCTCAATCCGTGAAGCTCTTGCAATTTTTGGAAACGAATGTGCGCCACGCTAAGGCGAGAGCCACATATTGAAAACGACCCGCCCTCCATTTGTGAAACTGCTGCCAATGTTTAAGCTTCAGAGTCATAAATGGTGGGGACATCTCGGGCGAAACGCCCGGCCCGTCCTAAACATTGGCCTCGGGTTGTGACAGGGAGACGTCATCCATAAGGAAAAGGAATGGAGGAGGAGGAGGAGGAGGAGGAGGAGGAGGAGGAGACGGAGGGGTTGGAGGAGCGTGGAGGGTGGGGGGTGGGGGAGGGCAGGGTCGAGGAGGTGGAGGCGCAGGGGGGGAGCAGCAGCGCCAGGACTCGGCCGAAGACGGGCGCATTGGAGGGGGAGCTGTAGGACTAGCAGGACGAGGGCGACAGCGACGACCACGATGACCACGACGACCACGACGACCACGACGACCATTACGACGACGACGACGAGGACGACTATGACGATGGCGAGGGGGACCGGGTGGGGCCGCGGGCGAGGGAGAAGAGGATGCGCAGTTGGGTGATGATGCTGATGATGTTGTTGATGATGATGATGGTGGTGGTGGTGATGACGATGATGATTATGATGATGACGACGACGATGATGACGACGATGATGCTGACGATGATGATGACGATGATGCTGCTGCTACTGCTAATGATGATGGTGCTGACGACGACGACGAGGATGATGATGATGACGAGGAGGAGGAGGAGGATGAGGAGCATGAAGATGATGTGGAGGATGATGATGACGACGATGGTGACGCTGCTGATAATGTGATGGTGATGGTTTTTGTGATGGTGATGGTGATGATGAGGATGACGATGATGATGCTGCTGATGATGATGCTAATGATGATGATGATGATGATGATGATGATGATGATCATGATGATGATGATGACGATGATGATGATGATGATGATGGTGATGATGATCATGATCATGATCATGGTCATGATCATGGTCATGATGATGAAGATGATGCTGCTGACGATGATAGTGATGGTGATGATTATGTTGATGACGATGCTGATTATGATGCTGATGCTGATGATGATGATGCTGATGCGGATGTTGCTGATGATGATGCTGCTGATGCTGATGAGCATGATGTGGTGATGTTGATGCTCAGGCTGATGCTGATGCTGCTGATGATGATGATGCTGATGATGCTGATGATGATGATGATGATGACGCTGATGCTGATGATGCTGATGATGCTAATGATGATGCTGATGATGCTGATGCTGCTGCTGATGATGATGATGATGATGATGAGGAGGAGGAGGAGGAGGAGGAGGAGGAGGAGGATAGTGAGAAGGATGAGCATGAGGAGAAGCAGGAGGAGGAGGAGGAGGAGGAACTGGAGGAGGTCGAGGTCGAGCTGTGTCGCTGCCTCCGCCGCGCTGGGGCGAGGCCCGCTCCTTCCTGGCGCTGGAGCCGCGCGCGCCCACCGCCGGGCCGTCCCGCCGCGCGGGCGTCCGCAGCTCCTTCCAGGACTCGAGCGGTCGCCATGAAGGGAACGGGTCGGACGAGAGGGGGGGCAAAGGTCTACAGGGTGGGTCCTCCTCCTCCTTTTCTTTCCTCCTCCTCCTCCTCTTCCTCTCCTCCTCTTCCTCCTCCTCCTCCTCCTTCTCTTCCTCCTCCTCCTCCTCCTCCTCCCGCCCTTCCCCCTCCTTCTCTCTCCTCCTCCCTCCGCCTGCCCGCTTCCCGTGTGTCGCTTCGCCTCCTCGTGTCCCGCTCGGGCTCCGACCGCGCCGCGCGGGGCGACGGAGCCGCGGCGACGGAGCTGCCGGCCTCCTGGCAGTTCCCCCCCTTCCAGGGGCAGCGCTCGGGGGGGGGATGGGCTCCAGTCGGGCTCAAGTCCCCCTACAGAAGGAACGCTCGAGAACAGTATGACAGTGCAGGGAAGCTGGAGAAGCGGCCAGGGCCAGCCCCTGGTCGGTGTCCTGCCACTTGTCCGGCCCTGTCGACGAAGTCCCACTGGTTTCGGGCTCGTTTCAGCTCCTGCGAGAGCACGAAAGCAACAACCTCACGCAGCCGGGGGCTTTCAGTGAGGGCGCCAGGCGGCCTCTCGTCACGTGGGCGGCGCCTCCGGCACTCCTCCTAACTCGGGTGCTGCCGGAGGTGCCCCCCCACCCTTATGGTGAGCCTCACGGGCCCAGGCCCCTGCGGGTTTTCCCAGCCCTGGCCACTTCCACTTGCATGGAATTTCCAACATCCACTGCTTCAGGCTTCCCTGTAGTCTTGGAGCTGAGCTGGCCTGGGGTTTGAGGTGGTCCAGCACTAGATCCGGGCAGCAGGAGGGGGGGCAGGTTCGAGGCTCTGGGTTCGGAATGTTTTCTGTTTGCCTTGCTGGGCCTCTGTGTGGCCGTCTTCGGGCCCTTGAGCTGTCAATTCAACGGATCCGGTGTGAACAACTGCACCAGATGAACCTCGGGAGGGGGTCCAGGGACCGATTTTTAGCGGATTTGGCTTCGCTCACCTTGCAGACAGATCTTCTCGGGGCCCATCCGTCTCAGACCCCCCGGCCGCCTCCAAGTCAAGTCCTCCCAGATGGGGTCAGAGCAGACGGGGCCAGATGATTGCGCCGCATCGCCGATGCATCGGCGATGCGGCTTAATGTGGAGCCCGATTTTATCCGCGCCGACGTTGCCGATACATCGGCGATGCATCGGGGATGCGACGCGATCCTCCGACCTCATCTACTCGGACCCTCTTCAGGGAGGCGTCTCTAAGAAGGGGGGCTACGAAATCTGGTGCGTGCCGCCGCGCTTGGCCCCTCCGTCGGGCGCTTCCTCGATGCGGTGGCTCCTCCGGTGCGCCAGGAGGGGCGTTGAGCGCCAGCTAAATGCTTTGGCTGATGCGATATCCCTCAGGAGGGTAAAAACACACAGACACAATCAAGCGTCGATTCCCAGGAGAATAATTGGAAAAGATGGGAAGTGGTGGGAAAGATAGAAACCCAGAAAATAGGTGAACATATGGGGAATCCTGGGATTCGTGTGCATTTACCTATTTGTGTGTTTGTGGGCCCCTTCAGTCCCCCCCTTTGCTAGCCGGCCCCTTGCGTCGGGCCCGAGATGTGGGGACGGTTCCCGAGGCTTCGGTCGCTCGTGGCCCTCGCCGGGGCGCCGTGGTCATCGGGACAAGGCCTCAGGACGAAGAGCTGGACCCCAGGAGCGCGTTTCTTCATCGCCTGGGGCATAGTGGGCACTGTAGCCCCCGATCCCCCCTCCCCCCCCCTACAACGCCCCTCCCCCCAGTGCGCTCCGGGCACTGCCGCCGTGCGCATCGGGCACACGGCGGGGGGGAGGCGTTACATCCTACCCCCCTCCCCCACGGGCCCCTCCCCCCTGATAATGCCCACGAACGCCGAACATCAAGGAACGCGCTCCAGGGTGGAACGCCCCAGAGTCCAGGACCCGTCTCCCTCGGGAGCCGCTCCCCTCACTCGGCCACGCGCAGAGGGGGGTCGGGGGAGGAGGCAAGGCCTCGTAGAAGCACCCCTCCCTTCTGAGAGTCCTTCCTCCCTGCCCCCGGCCCCCCTGGTTCGGGGGCAACGGTAGGGTCAAGTCGGGCCTGTCCCTCTGCAGGAGGAGTATTCCAACACAGTCATTCTGAGCATGTTTGTGATTTCTTTTTTTGTCGTCCAAGATCCGCCTGTAGGAAGACATGCCCGACCTAACGATAGGGGGCATACGGTAGGTTCGTGCGGCGTTGGCGCAAGCGACGCCCGCGAAGGCGTTCGAGGCTGAATTCTACGACGCGGAAGCACCGATGTACACGTTAACGCCACTGGACCCGATTGAGTTCAACCTTGAACGATCGGGGCCGCGTTCGATTCAAGGTTCGACGATCGATTCGTTGTCAGAAGCCTTTGCGCGCGCCGACGCCGCACGAACCTACCGTAGGCATTTGGGGGGGAGGCGTCGACCCCCACGGCATGGTCGTGCCGCGCCCGCGGGGTGTCCGAGGGCTTGCTCGGCGCAGCTGCCGGCGGCTCCGCGGGCGACCTTCGCGCGCTCACGGACCTCCGAGAAGCCGCGGCATAGAGAAAGGTTGCGCGCGATGGGCCAGTTTCCCACTGCCGCTACCATAGGCAGGACAGGGGAGAAAGGGAACATGGGAAGATCCTCCGCCTCCTCCTCCTCCTCCTCCTCCTCCTCTTCCTCCTCCTCCTCCTCCTCCTCTTCCTCCCCCTCCTCCTGCTGCTGCTGCTGATCCTCCTCCTCCTCCTCCTCTCCTCCTTCTCTCCTCCTCCTCCTCCTCCTCCTCCTCCTCCTCCTCCTCCTCCTCCTCCTCCTCCTCCTCCTCCTCCTCCTCCTCACCTCCTCCTCCTCCTCCTCAATCCAAGGAAAGATACCGAGGCGGCTCAAGCGTTTCTGGCAAGATTTCTTGAAGTCTGGTGTTTTCTCTCGTTCGCCTTCCCTGCGCTTGGGACGGTGGGTAAACGGAGGCGTTCTCGATCCTGTCCCAGTCATGGCCGCCGCCACCGTGCACCAGCTCTCGTCCCAGGTCGCGGCCGCCATCGACGTCTGCCCCACGTTCGCCACAGCAGCCTGCGCCCCCGCCCGCTGGGAGCTCTGGCAAAGGTGGTCGCGTTGCTTCTCTCACTGGTGGCTCTTCTCCTCCAGGCGGTTTTGGCAAGTTCGTCCCCCGCAAGCGTGCTGCTGCCTCTGACGATGGCGATCAGGAGGCTGCGGATGCGTACATGTCAGACGGCTACGTACGCCAAATGTGCATGGACCTCTCCCCGACATTGTTGGAGGGTGTCAAGGAGGAACTTGCGAATTCGGTCAAAACATGTGTCGCCGACCACGTCGCCTCGGCCAACGGCAAGATGCTGGCCCTCGTCGACCAGGTGCGAAACGAGCTTGCGGGTCAACCTGCGGCGCTCGACGAGCAGACTCTCGGGGTGGTTCGTCGGAATCTTGATGACGCTTCTCGTCGGCTTCAAGAGCAGATTGATGTGTGCACAGGCACGCATCAGGATCATGGTGGTCGTATTTCGTCGATCGAGGAGGGAGATGTGGACGAGCTCAAGAAGCAGATGCGTGAGCTCCGTGACCAGCTTGCCCTGGCGGAGAAGCGTCCCCAGGTCCCTCTCGCTGTCCCGCAGGGCTTCGAGCGCGACGTCGACGCCACGGTGGCTATCATAATGTGCCAGGCTGCCACCACCAAGCAGCTCGTGTGCGCGGCGCTCAAGGAGTGGCTCGACGAGCTCGGCTTCCCTGAGTCAGACTACGAGATCTCTCCCGCGGGGCAGTCGCTCTGCAAGACAATCAGCTTCAAGTTCGGCGGCCTTGTCGCCGTCGGCTCGCGCAAGGTCCTTCGTGTTCTTTCTCGGCTGCGTTTTGGTGGTGTTTGGAAGGAGTTCCACGTGGACGTACCAGGCGCCGCACGGGCGCGCATGCACCTCGACCCTGACAAGAACCCTCGCCAGATCAAAACCGCGATGCTGCTCCGCCGCTGTCGCCCCGCCATCGCCGAGGCCCACCCCGACCTCGGTCTCTTCAGTGACCGCGACCGTGGCGCGCTATAGGTTGGGTGGGGCAGGATCCTCCGTGTCGAGGTTGCCGCAGGTGCTGCGCCTGCGACCATCTCGTGGGGCCCGGCGGCTCTCCAGAGGCACAACCTGTGCAAGAACGACCTCGTGCAGCTCACGCGCCACCTCGCGGCGCCGCAAGCTGAGCCTCAGTGGTGTCTTTGATGTTGCGAAGCTGTTCACATGTTTTACTCCTGCACCTGGTGGTGCTATCCCCCCACTGCGTGTAGTGTCCTTGGAATGCTAGGGCTCTCTTGCCAGCGGTGGTGGCTAAAGCCGCATTCAAGAGGGGGTACGTCGAGAAGTTGAACATCGGCAAGAACACTGTCTCTCTCCAGGAGGTTCGGCAGGATGCTGGACAACTCGAAGAATTCATTCAGGGTGTTGATCCTTTGGTCACTAGTCGCGCTTCATTTTGTGGCGACGTTCCCGAGGACCGCGTTCGCGGTGGCGTTGCTGTCCTCCTTCCTGCTCTCAGCACAGTGGGTGGTCACCCCGTCCAAAGTCGTGCTGTCCCACTGGTGGCTGGGCGCGTCATGCGCGCGATGGTCGAAGTCGCGGACATCCAGCTCGACATCTTCAATGTTCACAGCCGCGAGCTCACGGCTATGCAGGCCGCAGCGGTGGCGCGCGTCGCGCGCAGTGCTCGGACCTTTGCGGCCAGGGATCCCACCGCGCGCCTCGCCATTGTCAACGGGGGCTTCAACTTCGCGGCGGATGAGGCCGCGGCCCTGCACGCGCCGCAGGCGGCGGTCCGCCGCGCCGCTCGGCGGCCCCGCGCGCAGGCGCCCGCTTGGCGTTGCGCGCTTGCAGAATTGATGGGTGCGGAGTGCACGGCGCCCACCCACTACGAAAAAATAGCCAACAATTCTGAATCGTGCATCGATCGCTTCGTCCTATCATGCACTGGGTGGATGTTATGCCAATTTCCCCGCGAGCTAACACTATCGGTGCGG